TTCCGGCTCCATTCATTTGGAGATCCTTGCCAATTTCCAGACCTAGCTTTCAACACTGATCCTTCAGTTCCCTTCACCCTGTTCTCTTCTAACCCACACTCATCCAAGGTCCCTTTTCATTAGGAGAATCATCTATAAGATGCTAAGGGTAGAAGCGATAAAGAAAAATAAAGGAAGGACATAAGAGTATAGCAAATACAGTATATTTTAGACAGTGGAGTGAGACGAAAACCCTGCAGACAGAGTGAAAGAGATAGAGAAAGCAAGAGATGTGAGGGCGGGGGGAGGGGAAGAAGATGGCACTGCGGAGGAAAAAAGAGCGCCACAAAATTAATTTGAGGAAGGGAACAGTAGGGGAGACGTTGGTGGAATAACAATCAGGCAGTAGAGGGTTGGGTAAAGGGGGAGGGCACCAGTGGGTGGGGAGGAACAGTGCTAGGGAGGAGGCCCAGCAGGCAGAGCAACAGCAGCGCCACCTATGGGCATGGCGGAGGGCTACAGACTGCAACAAAAGAGGCCCCCTGCCTGGGCACTGAAGTCTGGGGTGCAGGTGGGGAGAAGCCATGGTTTCTGCCCTTCAAGCCTCTCAATAATACAACACACAGACTAGAAGAATAAATTCTGTATGGCTCTCCTGGGAAGAGAGGGACTTAACAAGGTACAGGCGGAGGACAGAGAAGCCCTGGCTTTTTCCATTCCAAGGGGGTTTCTCTCTCAGAATTCAGGCAGTAGAAAAGAGAAGAGTATGAGAGGAGAGGAATGCCAGGTACAGAAGAGGATGTGTGCGCTGCTGCTTCTTTCATTAGCTGGAGAAAGGATTTTATCTTTATTTCCAAGTGATTTCCTTTCCCACTGGATGTTGGAGTACAGCTCCCTCCCCAGGGCAATGGATGCCCCTCTCTCAGCTGCTTCCTCACAGCACTGCCTTGAAACTCCCAACCATCATTAGAAACCCCCAGGGAGCCACCAAGCTCCAAGAAGGAAAGGGATGGGTTCCCCCACCAGCCAAATAGACCTAGAGGGGGTGGGGGGTAGTGGGTAGGGTGAAAAAAATGAGAGAATGTAAAAGCTCTGCAGAGGGAGGGGAGAGAGAAATGTGATCAGTGATATTTGTTGTGCTTCCAGGGAGGAAGGATCCGTCACATTTTTAATAATAATAAATACATGAAGACAGATTTGCTAGCACTGCTCTGGTTCCTTGGGAAGTGTGGGGGAGGGGAGCCAATGCAGCTGCAGAACAGACCAACATCTCCCCTCCCCTCCCCCATTAGATAGGCTCAGTATTGCAGCAACACACGCCCCTCCCCCTCTAACTGCAGTCCTCCCCATCACAGCCCACCCTTTCCATGGTCCCTTCACATAGCTCAGCCCCTCCTCCACCTCTCTCCCCCTCTCTACTCCCCCTAATCCTAGACTACCCTTTCAGCACTGGTACTCATTTAACATAGTCTTCAGCTCTCAGAAGCTCTAGTGCCCATAATAGTACTCCCCTAATTCTGAGGTCCCACCCTTTTCGTTCTAGTGCTTTCCTTCACTAGTTCTCAGCTATCTCCCCCTTACAACACCCCCAGAAGTAATCCAGTACATTTTTAGCATTTCCTGGACTCGACCAAAATGGATTGCTTTTTCCCCATTTTTATTTCAAAGTGACCTCCTTTCTCACAACCTTAAATATAATGGCCATCAAATGTGCTTGTGTTCAGGGGGTGTCAGAGCCTCGGGACTAGGTGACTACTGCCACCTATTGACCCAAATTTGTTCAAGATAGACCTTTAATACACTTCTTACACAGCATCACTCTGTTATTTCAAAAGCATCAATAGCTTAAACATGCAAAGGCATGGCTCTTGGGGCTTCTCTGAGACCCTCTGAACAATGAGATCAAAGAAATACAAAAGCAACACTGGGCAGAGAGCCAGAGCAATGATGCCTTTCTCCAGGCAGAAGCAGAAAGAGGCTGAGCCCAAAGAATGAAAAAGCAACCTTAAGTCTTCTCAAGGGTCTGTAAGCAAAGAACAGTAGTGGACAGTTTTCCTCAAGGGCTGTTAAAAACATCATGCATCAAAACATGAACAATGTTGCCAATAGAGCAGAAGCCAGGATTTCACTCATATGTCTCCATCAAGTTGGCCAAATCCTTGGGTAAGTCTGAATGTGAATCTAAGGTCTACACACCTCATAGAGAGCATGGGGACAATCAGAACTTCTGCTGACTCTGAGACTGGAAAGATAAATTGGGCTCTGCAAAAGGGCAGTTCTACACCACACAGATCTATGGTTTAACTATATAACCCAGGGCAAGGAATAAGATGGGAACGTTTGCACTCTCCGTGGTGCTGAAAAAGGACATAATCAGGTCATCCCTTTATCATAAACCTATTTTCCTAATAGGGCACCTATGAAGACGGTATCCACGAACTCCTGACAGACACTGTCCTACACCTTCATAAAATCCTAACAGATATAAAGCTTTAGAGGTAATAAAGCTTTAGAGGCAAAAAGTGGCCTAGTCAAACTGTCTTTCCCCATACCTTCAGATGAAAAACTATGGTAGAGATACTAAATTACCTGTCAAAAACAAAGCCCAAACTCTTTCCAGTCAAGGGATAAAACTGATCTTGTGCATAATGACATATCACTTGGTCAATGTTGAAATGACTTGTTAGCACTGCACTCAGGAAATCTCAGAGAATTGAATTTATGAGTAGGAATAGGGGAAAGAAAAAAGAAACTGGCCATAGACCTTGAAATACTAACCCTTAGTTCCCTGTACTACTGTAATAGTTTTCAAACTACATTCTATGACCTTCTAAAGATTGCCAGGAGCACCTCAGCACTCAGAAAGTGGACAAGAACATGGAGCTCCAGGTCCCTACATACTTCGACTAGTCACCTCATACCTGTCTTGTAACATGGAGAATCCACGCAGAACTCTGTCAACAATGTACTCTACATATTGATGACTCTGGGGGCAAATATTCTCAGAAGTAACATAACTTTTTATTGGAAATCCCTTTCAAATAACGCTTTTCATTTAGGAGGTCGAAGATATAACAAGGTGTTCTGGGATTAAAGACTTAATTGAATTAACATAAGATCCACAAAGGCAGGGAGTTTTGTTTGTTCGGTTCACTGCTATGCCATTAAGGGGTCAGAAGAATGTCTAGAACTTGTGGTTTCTTTAGAAGGCCTCAAACAGAAATGGGGCAACAGGGAGGAAGTCTACAAATTACCTACCAGTATTAAAAACCAAACCAACCACCCACCAACTCAAACTTTTATGAATCCTGGTACAGTTGAGGTCCTCTGTCCTCAACGGTCCCGGCACTCATTCTCTAACTTAGTAGTGTGTGACCTGGGGCAAATAACCAAAATGTCTCAGATAGGATGGTATTTTGTAAGGAATAAGGGCACAGTACTTAGCTCTTAGCTCAGTATGTAAGAGGAAGGCCTTTAAAAAAAAAAAAAAAAAGCACTTTCAAAAACCAAAAGGGGGAAAAAAGCACTTCCTTTCCCTTGGCAGTCCCATTAATTTAAAAATCTTAATAAATTAGAAGCAACACTTAGTCCACAGACATAAACGTAGTAGTCCTAACTAAAGGATTTTTGAGCTGAACCTCTTGTCCAGTAGTTCAGTCAGATAAAAAGAATCTCTAAACCTGTTCTCACGGCTCACAGCTAAGATTCACTTGAAGAAACAGACCTATGGGGGCACATCAGGCTCCCCCAGTTCTGCCAGAGATCAAAAATTAGAGGCCCCAGCAGAAAGCTCATGCTGGTGTCATCCAGGAGAAACAGCTCCAAGCTCCTTGGTTTAGAGGTATCTCAGAGATTCAGTCTCTAACACTTTTTTCACATTTTTCAGCTGAGGAAAATAAAGGCCAGAGATGTTAAGTGAGTTACCAAGTTCACAGAGTTAACAGAAGACAGTACTCAGCTGTTTAACTACTTTCTAACAGGCTGGAGCTGACTGAAAACAGATCCCTACCCTAATCAAGCAGATCAGCATAAATCCAAATCCACAAGGTTCAGAATCAGTAAGGTTTTAGTGATGTCATGACAGAAATTATATCCCTCTCCATGGCACTGCCCTGGAATGCCAAATACTAAAATTAGGTGTTCATGAGAGCCTAAGACCTTAAGAAAAAAACAAAAAACCCACAAAAAGCCCCCAACAAAACAAACAAACAAACCACTCCAATGAATTAATTCTAGATTCCTGACTTCTTTTTCTGATCCTCTTTCCACTTTTTATATCCTAGGTCTGAGGGATCACTAACAGAGGTTATTCTCTGGACAGGATACAAGATCTCAGATGTGAAACTACACGTTTTTTTCCCAACTTGGGCTTATATTTCTGTGGGATTTTCATTCTCTTGGTCTTTGAGCTAGGTATTTTCTGTCTACCTGACTGCTGGCATTCTTTTGCAAGCTCTTTGTAAACGGCTGGCCTTTACTTACTGGTGAGCTGATGCCTTAGTTGAAGAAGGGTCAAAGAGGCTGAAAAACCCAAGACTATACTAACTCTTCACATTACTCTCTCCCTAGACAAATTCCAACTCCCAATAACCGACCAAAGGTCAGCCCTATGTTTATGCTGTTTTAAAAAGAAAAAGGGTCTATCTTGAGTCTGTTTACAGTTAAGCACCAAAGACGTTTCCTGAAACACTAATGCCACCTGGTGGCCCACAAGATACATTACTAAAACCTAAGTTCATATATTTCAGATAATCTGTACTACATTAGCACAAGTAACACAAGAACTCCAGGCAATGTGGGCTGGAAGAGTTGATTGTAATACTCTAATCTCTCAATATTTTTTTGTTAAATAACCAGTTTCTAGTTTCTGGGGGAAAATATTATCAATGCAAATTACAAAAAGCCAAACTTTTCTCAGACCCACCAACATCAACTTTCCCTTTTCATTACCCTTTCAACCAAAATAACCCACACCCAACAATTCCAGTCATATAACACATGTGCAAAAGGAGCTTCAGTTTATAAGTACAGTCAACTTTATTAATATAAAGATCTTTTCATGTATATGTGTAGAGCAATTAATGAATTCCAAGGAAAAACCTACATACAGTGAAATTAGAAGTATCCAAGGATGACAAGTGTGTGTGTGTATATAAACATGTACACCCATAATCACCATCGCCTCCGAAAACCTGAAAGGAAGGGAAACCAAGAATGAGGCAAAGGACAGTCAGAAAAGCTGAAAGGACAGGAAAAAAGGACATCTAGAAAGAAGGCCTCCGTTGGTTAGCCTTTCTACATCCTCCCAGGACCAAAGGCTACAACAAAACTCGAATGGAATAATGATTCGATACACACTTTTATGTTCTATTTAAGAAAATCTGAATAGGAGTTGTGGGATCTTAGAAAATCCAAAATCTCTTTTGTGAATGATGCTCCTTTTCAGCCTTGTGAAGAGAAATGAAAGTTCACCTAAAGAGATTCATGCCCAGCACAGAAGAGACACTGTTGGGCTGGTAAGACCTTCGGTGGCACATTCAGAGAGCTGGCATCCCAATTCATACTCTCCACCCTCCACTTGATCACCTAGTCACTCACTGACCTTTTTTCTTCCGGCCTTTCTTAGATATCTTCTTCCGCTTCTTAATAGGATTCTGATCCTAGAGCCAAATGGAGAAATGAAAGACTGTCTGTCTGCTTCCCAATAGCAGGAGCCTTTCCCACCTTCCTCATATTAATAAGTCCCATGCATATTTGGTTGAAAGCCTGAAGGTAGCCTCCCACTGTACCACAATCTCACCTCATCAAGATGAGGGGTTCCCCCTGTCAAAGCACTGATGTCACTGAAGTGCGTGAGGGAATGAAGTTGTGAGCTCATGAGCGCTGCTCGTTTCTGCCGTCCTTTCTCTCGCTTACTGACACCTAAACGCACCATCATACTCTCTTCATAGTTAATCCTGCAGGACAAACACAGACACTGTTTACCACATGCTTGGTCCACAGAGACAGAAAGCTGCAGTCAAGAACCAGGCCCAGGTATCCACTCACCCCCTTCTTCATGGCAGCCTATAACGTATTTAGTAAGGACATACCGGATGCTTGCTACTGAGCTTCCTCAATGAAATGTTTTTCTTGTTAGAACCCCTCCTTCCCAAGAGAAACCCAGAGCCCATTCATAGGACTGTTTAAACCATTATATGAGAAAATCCTTCTATCTCAGCTCCATAAAAGGGCTGCCTACTTAAAGCGCCTTTTAACTCAAATCTATCAACTGTAGAGGTTGTCACCTGAGCAATTGTGATTAGCTTGTATTCAAGTTACAATCACTTTTCTATTTTTTTCCCCCTGAACTTACACAGCACCTTCAATGGCATTCTAAAAGCCTCTCTTTATAGCTTTCTGCACAAATGAGCACTGTGATAAGAAAACACCAAATTTTAAAGCCTTCTTAGATGGAACATCATATTTCCTCTCTATGTGGCACTTGGCCAGCCTAAACAGTTGGGGGAGAGGTCTGTACTTCAAACCCTTAATTCCTAATTCCTGTAATTTGGGTTCCCCTAGGACTTAATCACATTCATCAAAACACAAGTACACAAGTCTACAGTACAGAAACACCTTTGAATCCCCATAACACAGACCTGTGTTGATCCTCCTGACTCTGGCGGGTGACATGAGGATGCCGAGCATCGCGGATCTCCTCTGGAGCATCTGAGTACTGCTCCTTCAGTTCACGAATGACAGAGCTGCTCAACGCCCGTCTCTTGGCTCGTTCCAGGCGCTTCTTCTCCCGCTCAGCTTCTGTTTCATCTATATGATAAAAATCAGCCAAGATTATCCCAGAACACAAAACACCCCATTCATGCTGAGGAGGCAGCAAGCACAGTTCATACCGTAATGTACTGGAACCAAGCGTGGAGGCACATATTTCTTAACTGTTCCTTTTACAGATTTCTTTCCTAAAGCCTCAGACTGGCCATCCTCTGCTTCATCTTCCTCCTCATCCTCAGAAAGTAACTATGAAAGGAACACAATGTCCACAAACTTAGACAAGTGACAAGAAAAACCAAAGCTAGAGTACTTTGGGGAGGAAGGAATATAAACAAAAGGAAGAAAGGGGACTCTCATACTCAACATTCTAAGGCATAAGCGGGAATAACAATACTGAACCTCCCAGGAGCCCAGGATGACCATGGGGTTCATCCAGGCTAATGCAACCCCTTTACCTTGCTCTTCATATTGCTGGGATGAGGTTTAAAACGGAGCGGGTCATTCTCACCTGAAATAAAAAAAAAAAAAAAAAAAAACGGAGGGTTTATAAGATTTGGAACTCTGTGATGATCCCCACATAATTTTCTATCTTGCCCCACTTACTGAGGCTGCCTGTCACTGCAGTCTTGACCAATTTGTCAATTTGATACTTCAGTTTTTGGTCCAAGGGACGAAGCTTTTCCAAAACCTACAACATGGTTAAATAGGATTATATTTCCTTCCCCAAATTAAGTATACACCACATTCCCTTTGTTAAGTTGCCAAAGTACCAAAAATATACGCAAAGTAGAGCAAATAAAGAGGAAAATACTGTTTTCATTTGGTTTCCTCATTTAAATATGTGAACATCCACTTAAATGAGAGGCATCATGTATTACTCTCGGGGCTCAGGACTTGGAAACCTAGAGCTCTAAGATGTAGATGTCAAATGATTCATACCGTGCGAATCTCCACTAGCCTCAAAACTGCAGCATGTCCCTGCAGAGACCCTCCTGAAGCTTTGTCCATGATGAGATGACTCAGATCCATAAGGTACATGAGCAGCAGCTGGTCTTTTACTTCCAAGAGGCTAAGACCCTGAGTTGAATAAAATAATAAAAGAAGCAAATTCAGTTTTAGCCAGTCAGGAAGAAAATCTAGGGCAAACAGGGTATTCCAAGTTCAAGTTTTTCCCAATCAGTTCATATAGGGTACCTGAAGGACACTCAAGGAAATAGCTATACCTAAAATGGAAAGAGAAAATTATGCTAATACGAGACAAGCAAAGTGCAGAGAATAACTAGAGGACAGTAAGCAGGAAACGCAATAAAGCATCCTCCCAAATGACTACAACAGGGTTTCTCAACCTCACAGATACTGATATTTGGGGACAGAAAATTCTTTGTTGTGGAGCAGTATCTGGGCACTGGAGGACATTCAGCAGCATCCTTGGCCTTTACCCATTTGTGGACTTCTAGTGAGTCCGAGACCTGGGACACGACGGTGAGGGAAATCAGACACGGGGGACTGTCATGTCCAGCATGCAGTAAATCTTTATTGTCTTTGTGCTCGTTATATACTATTTTAATTGCAGCAGGTGTAACATCAAAGCATACCATATAATGATAACACATATGAATGATTTGTCTACTTTCTTACTATTATCTATTTACTTCAGACAGTAGGAGGTTAGTTCTCACGCACATAATCTTATCGCCCCCTAGCTAGAGCCTGGGAAGTCCGCTCATTATTTTTGTTATTCTCAGACTGTGGAGATGTAGAGGCCTGACTCCATGAAGGTCACTTTCTGGGCACTCAACACCAGGTCCTGTCACTCAGAGGTTTTCCTCCGAGATGCATGTGTTTTCACATGCCTTAGGGACTCAGGTCAAGGCCCTTCTGCTCACTACATGGGGTCTCTCCCAACACCCACTGATGCCAAATTGTAACAATCAAAAATATCCCTAGACATTGCTAAACTTTAGACGAAGTTAATCAAAATAATTATTGATTTTTATCCCCCAAATAGTGTAATTACATCATCAGATAAAAACAATGATCTATACACACTGATGTGGAATTAAGTCCATATCAAGACAAATTGTAGAAAGTCTGCTAAATGTGGTTGCAATTAAGGATAAGAAGATGCATAAATTTTATTTTTTTTTAAAGATTTATTTATATATGCATGCAAGAACCGGGGTACAGGCCACATGTGCGGGAGGGTGAGAAGATTCACCAGAGACAGAGCGGAGAACAGAACAGGCAGACTGACTGAAATACACTGCTGAGGTGAGCAGTGGGTGAGACAGGAGAGGTCTGCTGCGCCATGTGGGTATCTCCCTAGCTGGCCAGGAATCGAACCCGCGCTGCAGAGGCTGTGGGCAGCTTCAGTGCTGCGCTCAACTGCCTGCGCCACCAGGGAGGCCCGATGCATAAATTTTATACATATTAAAAATATCTAGAAGATAACACACAGTTAATAACTGCTACTCCTGGGGACAGACTTAAGGAAAAGAAACAAATGGAGTGCTCATCTTATGAAAGTGTTTTCTAATTAAGTATATATTACTTTTACAACGAAATTAAAAAAAAAATAACGAAATTAAAAAAAAAATAGTACCCTAGATATTATCTCATATTGATGATCATATTGGTTTTTAATTTTCTTTGTGCTTTGATTAGCTTCCAAACTTTCTAAAATTAAAAGTGTATTATATTGGGCCTCCCTGGTGGTGCAGCAGGTTAAAAGCAGCACTGTGAAGCTGTCCACAGCCTCTGCAGCGTGGGTTTGATTCCCGGCCAGCCAGGGAGATACCCACATGGTGCGGCAGACCTCTCCTGTCTCACCCGCTGCTCCCCTCAGCAGTGTCTTCGGTCTGTGTGCCTGTTCTGCTCCCCAGTCTGTCTCTGGTGAATCCTCTCACCCTCCCATGCCTCTGGCCTATACCCCAGTTCTTGTACAAATAAATAAATCTTAAAAAAAAAAAAGTGTATTATATGTATGTATATACAAAAAAAGAAGACAAATCAAGAAAAACAAAGCTAAAAGAAAGAAGACAAAGCAAATATTTTGTTTACTCATATAATGAAAGAAAGTTGAACAAGCAGTGACTTAAATTATACTTACTAAACTTATAAAAATGAGTCACCATGACTGCTTAAAATGAAACTAAAAAAGCCCTAGGAAGACCTATTTCAGACAAGTTAAATACTCTGCCCAAGATTACACTAATTGCAGATTCAAGCTCAGTCTGATTCCTAACACCTGAATCCTGAGCATCTTTAAACCAACAAATTAAGACCAGTACCGGTGTGGTATAGGAGAACAAGTAAAAGATTTAAACACAAACCGAGTTTAAGTTTTGAATTCGGCATTTGATAGTTAATGGGTTAAGTCATTTAACCTTATAACCTCAATCTCTTCATCTATAATATATTCCAAATATATAATCCATCCCAAACAGTAGTTATGAGGCTCAAATATGACAAAAGTAGAGCATTCTGTAATGTGCAAAGCACCTACTCAAAATCTGTGGTTATGAAAAAGGAGTTAACAAATATCTGTTAAACAAATAAATATATAGTGATCGAAGATACAAGTTGGCAGTCCATCTCAAAAAGGAATATGGATCAAGGCATGGTACCCAAAACAAAGACAGTAAATAATTTGAGCAGTAGGTTCTTCTGACATGCTTGGGCATTTGTAGGTTCAAATTGGGTTACAAGCATACGAGAGAAAAACAAAGAAGGAAGGAAAAAAAAAGACTTTAAAAATTCAGAAAAAAGGGCCTCCGTGGTGGTGCAAGGGGTTAAGACACAACCTATGAAGCTGTCCGCAGCCACTGCAGCACAAGTTCAAGCCCCGGCCTGCCAGGAAGAGCTACCCACATGGCGCAGCAGACCTCTCCTGACTCACCTGCTGCTCCCCTCAGCAGTGTACTTCAGTCAGTCTGCCTGTTCTGTTCCCCTCTCTGTCTCTGGTGGATCCTCCCACCCCCCACACTTCTGGCCTGTACTCCAGTTCTTGGATGCATAAATAAATTAATCTTTTAAAAAATGCAGAAAAAATAGGTAAGAACAAAAGTGAATGACAAAGTCAAAAGAGAACATATTTTAAAATGCTGTTAGTTATCTTTCTAAAGCACAAATCTGCTATAAATTCCATGTTTAAAAATGCTTCAGAGCTTCCCTAGTGGCGCAAGGGGTTAAGATGCAATGTATGAAGCCATCCACAGCCACTGCAGCGCGAGTTTGAGCCCCAGTCAGGAAGCAACCCACATGGTGCAGCAGACCTCTCCTGACTCGCCTGCTGCTCCCCTCAGCAGTGTATTTCAGTCAATCCACTTGTTCTGTTCCCTACTCTGTCTCTGGTGAGTCCTCTCACTCCCCGCACCTCTGGCCTGTACCCCAGTTCTTGCATGCCTAAATAAATAAATCTTTAAAAAAGACTTACCTTTTAATCTTAGCATTTTATCATAGCTTAACATTTTTTATTATATAAAATAAGTGACATATTTTCAACTAAAAGCAGGCTAAATTACATGAAATATATTATCTCCTCAGTTGGTCTACAAAGTACTTCAGAAGTGACTGCTTTCCCGTTATTTCCTACCCTATTACTATCTCTCATACACGTTTATCTAATGACTAAAACCTCCTTTTCCAGACTATTATCCCATTTTCAGTTTTTTCACTCCCTGACTCTTATTTATTTCTAACAAGCCTATTACCTTCTCTAAGACTTTTCTGACTTACTCTGCTCCTGTGGCAATTATTTACTCTCTCTCCTTGATCTGAACAGCATTTATTATGACTCTATAATGTGACTTATGCTGCTCTAAGTTGTTTGGCCTGTCTTCTCCACTAGATTCAACACAAAAACTGGATTCATCATTGAAGCTCCAACACTTAAGAAAGCTAATTTTTTTTTTTAATAGAGGCATGTTCTATTTATTTATTCATTTTATTTGTTTGTTTTGTTTATACATGCACTGGGTACAGTCAGAAGCGCGGAAGGGTGAGAGAATTCACCAGAGCCAGAGCGGGGAGCAGAGCAGGCAGAAGGACCGAAGTACACTGCTGAGGGGAGCAGCGGGCGGCAGGAGAGGTCTGCGTGCCATGTGGGACCCTCCTCCGGTGGCCGGGGAGCAGCCAGGGATCAAACCAGCGCCGCAGACGCCGCGAGCAGCTTCGCAACCCAGTGCTCAACCGCTGCACCACCGGGGAGGCCCTAATCTGCTAATTTAAAGAAATAACCAGGGGATGACTTACTCTTCAAGGATGTCTTACCTTTTCTGTAGGATAGGCTCGAGCTTGAACTTTTTTAGTCAACGCTTGCACTTGAGCAGTCACAGCCATCACCTGAAATTAGTCCAAATAAAACAGCTAAGTAGAATTTATCAAGTTGTCTGTGTGAGCTGTGAAGAGTAAGTCAAACAATGCCACCTGAAAATTATCTGAAATAATGCCTAAACCACAGTACTTTTTCTTAGTTTTGGTAAAGTACATGAGAGTTTCTGATACTTTGTCAAAAGGTAGAAAAAAATTTTCCACCTCTTCTTAAAGCTAAAGAAAAAAAGCTAAAGAAACCATCTTACCAAGGCATGGAAAGGATGGGGATTGGGAAAGTCGTTCTGGAAGGGCTGTAACTTTACCTGCACAGGCTGTACATACAATGCACTGAACTACATAAATATTACTAGCTGTCTAGGCAAATCTGTCGCCTTTCCCAGGACATTTCCTTAACTATAAGAATAAACGAAATTAAATCAAATGATTTCTTTTTGTAAATTTTCTGTATTCCTTCGGACGTATAAGTCATTTGTTTAAATTGGAGCCTGTAAAGATTTTCAATAAACCCTTTCGCTTTAACAGCCTTTGAGAATAGTAAAATGTAAGTCCCCAGATCCCCAAAGTGTGGAGGTGAGGCACTCTATTCCACGGAGTGACATAACTCACCTGCTCCTGGAGGTTTTTTAAAAGTGTTACCGCACTCGGCAGGTCAGCCTGCAGCACCTCCTACATGAGAAAAAGAGTAAAGATAAACTATTCTTTCCTCAGGATTATAAATCTGGACGTCTGAAGAGGAAAACTCCCTCCCTCCTTTAAACAGCCCAGAGCTCCGGTCTTCTCCGGTGCCCACGCAGAATCGCACAAAGCCGGCCACCCCTCCAAGTTACTACAGACGAGCGGCAACTCCAGCTCCGTCTCCTTACTGCTGCTTTTGCTCGGCTGTGCCAGCAGGGTCGCTTTCCTGAAACTACTTTCATCACCAGCCTTCTTTTGTACCAACAATTTGCGTCAAGCAGCTAAGGGGTAAGGCAGCATCCACAATAGCAAAGCAAGGAATAAAACACTTACCGGCGCCGCCATCTTCACAAAGCCCGCCCCTTCCGGAGTCGTACTCACTGAGCGCTAATGCAGTCTTGATGGAATTGATAGACAGTTGCCGTTTGCAAATCTAAGCCAATAGGAACAAGGGCTCTCTCACTTCCGCCCAGAACAGGATGTACGAGAGGCGGGGCCTGATTCAGCCAATGGAATAAAGGAACTGGCTAAATGCGTCAGACTTGGACGTGAATCTAATGACGTAAAGATGCACTTGGAAAAAAAAGCAAGTGACTAGTAGAGGGAAGAGAATGGTGGAAGTTAAGCCAATAAAAACTGGGTATAGAATTGATTGACAGTTGGAAGGACCCAATGGAAAAGTGGAGCAAGCGGAGTGACTTGAGAGCGCATTGGCTCCTGCATTCCGCAGTACTCGAGTCCTTCTCGCGACCCTGCCTTGGGTTGCCGGAACCCGCCGCTAGGGGACAGGCCTCGGCTTCGCTCTGAGGCGACGGCGCTGCGGAGCCGCCATTGCTGGCCGTGGCGCCTACGGCTCTCGGGACGAGGTTACCCAGACACCAGGGCCTTTGGGTCGATCGTGTGGCAGTAGTCCGGTGCGACCGAAGCCACGCCACTCGGTCTGCGGGCTTTTTACGTCTGCAAATAAGGGAGGCCAGAGAAGCCCAGAGCCCGGGTTTAGAACCAGACACCATCGCCCTCGTGGTGCGCCAGGGAGGGCTGCGGGAAGACCCCCGCGCCGCCCCGACGCTCCTAAACCCTTACCCGTTTGCGGCGTGAGAGGGACACGCTTTACAAATGAGGAAGGCAGCTCCTATTTTCTTGTCTTGCTCTTGGTCACATAGGTTTGTAGCAGAACCTGGTCAAACCCAGCCTGAGCGCATTTCATCATTACCTCAATTATCTTCACACTTTTCAAATGTCAGCTCAGTCCTACTTCTCAGAAGCTGGTAAAATAAGTTGGGTGGGTATGCAACAGGGGGGGGGGAGGTTCCCTGTTGCAGGTATTGGTTGTTCCCACCATCTGCCGCAGGAATAAACACAGCAAAGGCAAACCGGTCTTGAATTTGTCCTGCGGCTGCTGAGCTGAACAGGGCTAACTGGAATTAAGAAAGAAAGAACCCCAAAACTTGGCAGCCGGGGTGAGGAAAATACTGGTTTCTAAATCTTTCCTTGGACTCAGGAGGAAGACGACGGGGGAGGTGGGGTGGATATCCTGCCCAGACCTCAGCCTCTAACATTTGTGGAAGCTCAGGGTGCCTAGGCACCCTGTTCAGATTAGTATATGAAAAGTTTCCATTTCAACATAAATTCTCGTACTTGTCTAGTTAGGTCACAGACAAGCTTTTTTTTTTCTTGGAACTTGAAACTTATTCTCTCCGTGTGCATTACAACATCAACCAGAAGACAATTACACTGCCTTGTTTGGCTTTTAATTACTAAATACTTGTCAACCATTCCTTTTGTTACAAGAAAATTTTGGCGTTTATAGCACAGTAAATCTTTATGAACAAACTCTTCCAGGACTCAACCAACAAGTACTAGCAAAGAACAGAAAATCATTAAATGGATTGTTTTCTGTTTTTTTCAACAGTTCCATAAATTGACAATTATAACATTTACACATATATAATAAGCAATTTTTAAAGTAGCTTTATTGAGATTGAATATAAATATCATGTAATTCACCCATTAAAAGAGAAAATTAAATTATTTTTAGAGTTGTATAAATATCACCACAATCAATTTTAGAATAGTTTATCACCTCCTAAAAAATATACACATTATCCTAGCCACAATCACTATATTCTGTAATTTTGCTTTTCAAAAATGAACAATGATGTTAAATTTTTTTTAAACATGGCCAAAAGCTTGTTCCTTTTTAATGATGAATGGCACTCTGTGATTAATATTTTGTGTGTGTATTTAACATTTATATAAGCATGTGTCACCAGCTCCCCCAGGTGCCAAGTGCCCAGAACTCACACCCGCAGCCCTTCCACTCCCTTTTGTAATCTATGGGAATTATCTACACTAGGTACAGTAGTGGCAGACTCCTGGGTTGAGAACTAACTCTTTTTTTTTTTTAAAGACTTATTTATTTATTTATACAAGAACCTGGGTACAGGCCAGATGTGCGGGAGGGTGAGAGGATTCACCAGAGCCAGAGCGGGGAACAGAACAGGCAGACTGACAAAATACACTGCTGAGAGGAGCAGTGGGCTGGGCAGGAGAGGTCTGCAGCGCCATGTGGGACCCTCGCCAGCCAGCAGGGATTCAACCCACACTGCAGAGGTTGCGACAGCTTCACAGAGCTGCACTCAACCACCTGCGCCACCAGGGGAGGCCCCTTAACTCCTTTTTGTTAGTCTGTTTGTTTCTGTGTATTTTCTAAAAGGCTTTAATTTACACCCTGGGTGTCATGGGGTGAACATTTGTATGGAACTGCTTTCGTAAAGAAGAGCCCAGGTCCATTTACAGATCAAGGGAAAAGCTCTCTTCCTCTGGAAGCAAGCCATGCCCTCAGCACCATGCGTGCCACTTGCCTGTGAGGGCTGTAGCCCTGCGTCTACCTCTTCCCGCAGCGAGCCCTCTCTCCCTGTGACTTCAGGCCTTGCTCAACAGCTTGAGCAATAGGTCAGAAAGCATCAGGACACATTGCCGGCGTGGGGGCAGCATCTGCGTGGGCCTGGTTTGCAGGACACATCCATGTCTGCAATTGGAGTGACTGTCTCTCTTTTCTTTTTCCATGAGAAATCTTTGCTGTGAATTGCCTACAAAAATTGACTCTAGTAACAGGCAGTCTTTCAATCTGAAAATTTGAATTGAAATAAATGAATGTGTGTGTGTATATATATATATATATATATACACACACACACACATTAAAGTCAAGCAAGAAATAAAAAGGGAATATATACAAGCTACTACATTCAAAGAGCGGCTATATGTGTTAATTAGGGTTCTCCAGAGAAATATAACCAATAGGAAATGATATATAGACTAGACGTAGATTCATAGAAAGAGATTTATAATAAGGATTGGCTCATACTATTATGGAGGCTAAGTCCCATGATATGTTGTGTGCATATTAGAAAGCCAGGAAAAGCCAGGCAAGGTGGTGGTGTAGTTCTAGTCCAACTCCAGACATCTGAAAACCAGGAGCACCAGTGGTGTGAATCCCGGTTTGAGGGCAAGAGAAGCTTGACATCTCTTCCTCCACCTTTTTGTTCTATTCAATCACATTGGATAATGCCCTGTCACACTAGGGAGAGCAATCTACTTTGCTCAGTCTGCTGACTCAGATGCTAATGTCACCTGGAAACACCCTCCTGGCACACCCAGAAATCATGCTTAGCTAAACATCTATGCACCTGCTGACTCAGATTTAAGCACAAAATTAACCATCACACTATACATAAAAATACTCATAATCATTCACTCAAGAATCTATCTCTTAGAAGTTGTTCTGGCAAAATTACTGAAAAGAAAAAGAAGTCATGCCTGCATGACACATTTACAGAGACATTCTAAGTTCAGAAAACTGGGGGCTAGAGACTGACTGCTAATGCATTGGCTTGAAGTTTCTTCTTGGAGTGATGAAATGTTCTAAAATTAAATGGTGATGGTGATCACACAATTCTAAATATATTAAAATCTACAGATTTGTACACTGTAAAGGGTGAATTTTAAAGTATATTACTAAGATTTCAATAAATATAAAAACTATAAATCATCCAAATAGCCAACATGTTTTAACACAGAAATAGCAGTAAATAGCTGCATAGCTTCATTTACTAGTGTTTACTATATATCCATCACTATTCTATGTACTACATTTTACATGTATTAATTCAATGATTTACAAAGTATGGTCCTCAAACCAGTAGCAGGGATACACCTTACCCTGATCTACTGAGGCTGAGGCCTAAGAAAATGTCTTAGCTTCCATGTGATTCTGCAACATGGTAGAAGTTTGCGTATTTCTATTTCAACTTATTTAATTCCCATGACAAAGCCAATATTATTAGTGGACCATCTGCATTTGTAATATGATAAAATTTAAGACTGTAGAAATATGGAATGTTTATCAATATAATAAGTGTGGGCTGGGGCCCAGATTCTGTAGTTCTAAGAAGTCACTGATGTGGCTGCTGCTGGTCCATGGATCATACTTTGAGTCATAAGACTGTGTGAATCTTTACTTTTTTCTCAGAAATTTTAAGTAGTTCACCAGGTCATATAGCTGGTCCACAGTAGAGCCAGGGTTTTTGAACATAGGTCTATTTGACTTCAAAAGCCAAGTCTCTAAGATATGCTGTCTTTTTTTTTTTAACAATTTTTTTAAAAGATTTATTTTATTTATTTATGCATGTAAGAGCTGGTGTCTAGGCCAGAGGTGTGGCAGGGTGGGCCGGGAGGGGTGAGAGGATTCACCAGAGACAGAGTGGGGAGCAGAACAGGCAGATCTACTGAAATACACTGCTGAGGGGTGCAGGGCAGCAAGAAAGGAGAGGTCTGCTGCACCACATGGGCTAGCTCCCTGGCTGGGATAGAACTCAGATAGTGGTGGTAGCACTGAGACTTAAACCTAGGCCATCAGGAGGCCCAGATATGCTGTCTTTCTCTTCACAGGAAATGGGCCTCCCAGCTTCCTATCTGGGCTGAAGGGGAAAAACCTAATCCCTAAGAAGTAGACAGAGTCAGGAAAACTCAGAAGATTATCAAGACAGGGTAAGGACAGGGCTCAGTTACTATGCTGGGGCACAGGGTGGGGCCCAAGTCCTAAGAACAAGATAGAAGTTGACTTTCTAGAACTAGGGCACAGCAGCAAGGATGACTTGAGACAGAGATGCAAAGTATGTTCAAGAACTCTTTCTTTTTTTTTTAAAAAAAAAAGGTTTATTTATGCATACAAGAGCTGGGGTACAGTCCAGAGATGCAAGGGGTGAGAGGATCCACCAGAGACAGAGTGGGGAACAGAACAGGCAGATTGACCAAAGTGCACTGCTGAGGGGAGCAGCGGGCAAGACAGGAGAGGTCTGCTGCGTCATGTGGGTTGCTCTCTGGCCACCGGGGATCGAACTTGTGCAGCAGAGGCTTCGGATT